AAAAAAAAAAAAAAAAAAAAAAAAAAAAAAAATATGCAAATGCCCGTTATTAGAAAATTTAAGAATTTGTAAAGAAGAACATGCCTATCAATACGAACATTTTATATAGTCCGATATAGGCCCATGTATGTATGTACGTATGTGTGTAGGTGTGTATATATGTGTGTGGGTGTGTGCGTGTATGTGTGTATGTGTGCATGTGTGGATGTATGTATGTATGTATTATTATTATTAATACTGAAATATTATTATTATTATTATTATTATTATTATTATTATTATTATTATTGCTGTTGTTCTTGTTCTTGTTGCTGTTCCTGCTCTTGTTTTTGTTGTTATTATCATTGCTACTATTATTATTATTATTATTATTATTATTATTATTAGGCCTATTATTATTATTATTATTAATACTATTATTATTATTGTTATTTCTATCATAATGAGTACTACAAAACCATTATTATTTCATCACATTTAGTACTTGGTGTGACAAAAGGAATATACAACGGTAGTGGATATGGCGTTGCGGTTGACCTGTTTGGTCCCCAGTATTCAGCGAGTACCGCAAGTATGGTAGCGTCGCCAAGCGGGGTTGGATATCTACTTGCAGCATTAGTTGGAGGTAATCAACTGATTTGCTAAAAAAAAGTCTTTGCCATAAAAACAAATTAAATAAAGATCTTAAATGGCTCATCTATGAAGGTTAAATAAATGATTGACTTCCAACCAAAAACAGATAAAACAAAATTAAATAGTCCTATTATGACATTAAAGCCTGGTTTCCTCAAAATCGCTACACTTTCACTACATCGTTTTCAGTGCAATAATTGTACTGCGTATCAGTCCCCGACGCAATCGGGAAGGCTCCCCAATTCGGTCGCTGTCGGCGATAGCGTGAGCGATTGTATGAGAACCAAGCCTAAGTCGGGCACACACTGTGCCTACGATAGTAGGCCGACTCGATTAGAACGCAATGCGACTAGGCACACGACAAGGCGCGCAGCGAATCGTTGATCCACTCAGTCTGCCATCGACAACCAGCAGACGGCGTCGTGCCGCCAAGCGCTCCTCAAAGAAAGTGCAGATCGATTCGCCAGTCACAATGGTACGACCGCCGTACGACGCAGTGTGTATCCGGTTTTGGTAGAATGTACTGTAGCATGATGACTATGTGACGTCAACATATGACAATATAACTTAAAGCATATATGTATATACATTGATCTCGTGAACATATTCAAATTTTCTTCCAAATCCTAGGTTTCAGTTACGATTTAACTGGTTCTTATGATTACGCCCTATACGCCTGTTGTGGCATGTACATAGTTGTTGGTGCGCTGTCGTTAGTCACTCAGATCTGGCAGAAAACATGGGCAGTTGAACGGTAGATTCAGCTTGCTTTTCTTTATCAGTGAAAACTGTTGAAAATTAATCGATTTTGGCACCGTATTAAATTTTTGCTACAATGGCGTCCCATATTATATACTTTTATGGGTTGTAATTATTATTATTATTATTATTATTATTATTTATTAGTAGACTTGCCACAAGTCCCTTATTATTGGTAGGGTAAATACATCAGCCACGAGGAACAAAGTTAATTCATCAGTTATTTCGTTATCAGCACATGTATAATACTGCAATAAAGAGGTCAATAGCTAAAAACAACTTTTAAATAAAACGTGACAGAGCAGACTTATTGTAGTCTTAGTTTTATTTCATTTAATCATGTTACAGCCAACGCAGACATAGGTAACTGTCTCTTATACACATCTAGATGTGTATAAGAGACAGGCCCCAACCATGTTGGGTCTGAGGTGAAGTGGACTCTTCTCGGACCCACGGGCGCAGACCACTGGGAAAGGAGAACACGTCCCCCCCCCCCTCCACACCTATTTTTAAGGGGAAATGGTTCGTCCTCTCACTTTTCGGGAATCATGAAGATATGCCTGAAAATTGTTGAAATAAACTGCATAAATGACTCAGGTTTTAACGAAATAGCGCGGTAGGCCTACAGCCAGAGTACATCTTATTTTATAGCAAGATACCGGTATACTCTGCCCACAAACATCTGAATTATCTATCATACACGATTCGAGTGCGCGTGCCTTTATTAAAATTTGAGAAGTATGAGAAAAGGCGTGTAAAGATAAAATTGGTTTTCGGCACATGAAGTAGGTAAACGACAAATGATGAATTTCACTATATAAAAGTGTCATTTCTGGCCATCTAAAGGTACTATTTCCTCAAATGTTCTCAGCCCACCTCATCCCCACCCATGGCGGGGCAGAGGTGGTTGTGGTCTCACTGCTATGTCAAGTATGTCAAGTAAATACACCAAAGTGAATGTTTTTTAAGTTACGGTATATGTTCTATGGTTCATCACACATACTACTTAGATCTCTATGGTTGCTAAAAATCGCCTATAAAAAAAAAGATAATGAAAGTTTGTTGGCGCTTCATTTTGACTATATAATGATATAGTGATGTGATGGCGATGAATTTTACTATTATAAATGTGTGAATTTTCATCCCATTAATGAGTAGCAAAAAAAAAACATATTATCCATGTAGACGTTAGCATTTCTTCTTTGTAGTAATGGCGTTCCATACTACAAGTTTCTCAATATAAACACACGCTGGTGGCGCTCTCTGACAGCTTATATCGCTAGAAAGAAAATAGATTCAGCTTGATTTCTTTATCAGTGAAAACTGTTGAAAATTAATCGATTTTGGCACCGTATTAAATTTTTGCTACAATGGCGTCCCATATTATACTTTTATGGGTTGTAATTATTATTATTATTATTATTATTATTATTATTATTATTATTATTATTATTATTATTATTATTATTTATTAGTAGACTTGCCACAAGTCCCTTATTATTGGTAGGGTAAATACATCAGCCACGAGGAACAAAGTTTTCATCAGTTATTTCGTTATCAGCACATGTGTAATACTGCAATAAAGAGGTCAATAGCTAAAAAACAACTTTTAAATAAAATGTGACAGAGCAGACTTATTGTAGTCTGAGTTTTATTTCATTTAATCATGTTACAGCCAGCGCAGACATAGGTACAGTTCTCGGGGGACATCTAGATGTGTATAAGAGACAGGTGGGGATGCATGTGCAATTGATTTTTCTATCGGACCGAATGGTTTTACCAACATTTTTAGGCCTAGAATAAGATGCAATTGTTGTAAAGGGATTGTCGCATGAAAAAATAATGAATACCTAATACTGCAATAAAGAGGTCAATAGCTAAAAACAACTTTTAAATAAAATGTGATGCTGTATTCCTATATTTAAAAATAAACTACTGTACTACACAAAT